TTGTTTCGCCTCGTGCACCCTCTCCTGACATCCTTGAACGGTCGCGGAATTTTAAATCCCGTGCGACTCGGACGAGCCGTTTCGTCAGCTCTCGGAAATATTTCGCGCGGTCAACGCTATTTTTAAACTTCGCGTCTTCCAGTCGTCGATCTCTGAGACCGATTCTTATCGTCAGATCAAACAATGACTATTTCCTCTCAAAGTATTTATGCGATTCGTAGCTGCGCCATGATCTTTTTGCTCTTCAACTAGAAACGGATACGATCGTGTCGCGATCGAACCGCGAACGGGCTTTTCTGGAACGTTCTTTTGTCTTCGGAAGTTTCTGCGCGGTTATACGTGATCGGTTTACCGCGGATTGGAACAGAGAAGGGGTATACAAAAGTAACAGCAGGAAGTAAAAAAGGCACTTTTATCGCGGACAAAACGTTTTCAATGGCCACCGTTCTAGCTGCGGTGTATAACAATCGTACTTCTAACGGTATTGCGCCAGACCCAAACGTATATCTCCGTTCGAAACATTAAAAGCATGACCACTGAGCTATCATAAACCGAGTTATGAACGACGGAAATATCAATTATATATTCGCGTCCTCACGAAACATTTTCTTGGACAACGAGTACCTATCCAACAGAGCCAGGAGCGTATTTTTTTTCACGGCGTAATAGTACTAATGATCAGTTAAATGACGAGACAAATTCGCTTCGCAGCGTCATGTGCGTGCAGCGTGCGCGGTATGCGTTATTACGCAACAATTTTTGTCTAATGTCGGTTCCGTTGAAAAATAACTTGACGTTCCGACTACGCGGTGAGAGATTGCGCCATTAGTTTTCTGTTCCGTTTATTACGCGGACGCGATGCGTAATACGGGATAAAATAAGTGTACCCATACTTGCATGCGAAACGGCGCAGGCAGAATAGGCGGAAGAAACGCGCGACAGAAAAGAATGTATATTGAAACTTCACAAATCCGATTTCTCTGTTTAAAACTTCTCTCTAAACGAATCGTCCTCTAACGGACTCGTCAAACCTTTGACCCTGACGAAATTTATCATCGCCCAGTCGGTTTACGATACATTGATCGACGATACGAGGCTCCCGAGCCTCGAAGTGTCTACATATATTTTTCTTTCTATTACGGACATCCAGCAGAGAAAAATAATGCTATAAATTAGTATTGCCAAACGATCGGCCGTCGACGTACGGTACTCGGAGGTATTTTTTTCCCTGATCCTCGGGAGGTCAAGGATGATACGCCGTCCGAAGGAACCGGTTCTCTGAATGGATCGCGGGTAAATTCGACGACTCGCGCGGCTAAAGCCTTTCACGAGTCATCGCACAATGCGATTCCGTTTCGTTACGTAACGACTCTGTCGAACGCGTTTCATCCGATTCATGTACGTACCGTCGTCGAACCGACGATGCATTCAATGGCTATTGGATTAAAAACTACAGAACATGAATGAGTTTGTTAACGGTACTATCTGCCGAACGATTATCCGGAATCCTAAATGATTATCGTATTGATGCGTAGAATGAATGGTCGCGATTATTTCTTGATGCATCATACGAATTTCGATAGAGATTACCGAATGAACACAGTTTCGCATTGAAATAAATCAAAATTAATATCGGCAATTCTTTGTCAACGTCTCGGGTATTATTGTCTAAAAATTTCTCGTCGCCAGCGAAGTTTAAAAATTGTTCCATTTCTATCGTCGTCGATCTACCGGGTGTCTTCTCTCGGCTAATGGAGCGTACAGTCGTCGTCGCCGACTGGCGAACAGGTCGTTCCTTGAACAGCGGAAGACCACTTGAATTTCCATTCGTTCGTTCACCTCGCGTGCACATTTCCACACTGACGCCGCGCGTCGCCCTCGGGCCGATCCGACCACCATTCGGCCTAGGACAGCTCGGAGCTACACGTGTCCATCGCGAAACGATCGTTTCGTGACACCGTCGATCAACCCTGCGAACGGTAATCGTACGAATGGAACGTCCCGCCCGAAAACGAAATTCCCCAAAGCTTTAACGACCGCGGGAGAGTCCGCGAAATCACGCTCCGAACGATTTACTCGACTGGCTTGCCCGCGAATCAAAGGGACTTCCCATGGGACGAAATGCTCGATTCGCGCTGCCCTTGTGATTAAATCTTAATAGCCGTGCGAATTTAAAACGGTGCTGTTCGCTTTACTCCGGAATCTTTTAAAAGATTCGCTCTCATGCCGAACAGGGGACACGATAAAAGTGCGAACGCCTCTTGTTGCAATTTTATAACAAATCCACGTTTACCAGCGGACGTCTAATGACGGCAGTTATCGCCGAGTGGATCACACTTGACACATTCGATCAGAGTCAAGAACCAGGAACCCTCGACGGGATTCCGGTGGCATAATGCAGTCGACGGTACGCGTTTCCGTGAGGTGATCGTCGGAACGGGAATTTCGAATTCGAGTCAGTATGTACCGGTGGGGATTAGCCGCGGCGACGGTTAGTCCTTTGACCGTTCCGCTGGACGATCCCACGTTTCCGGCCAAATTACCTAATGGTGATAAGCAAAGACACTTTCCGTTCCACGGTCAGACGCGAATCGTTATCGCGCCGCCGCCGTGTGGTGCCCCGAGGATACCCATTATCCACCTCGTGCACCAAACTATGCCAAAACTACTGTTTCGCCGGATTTGATTTCCAAGCCGCTTCTTCTCTCGCTCTCCCGTTTACCAAGTTTCCATTTGACGGGAAATCAATTCGCATTATAAAATGTTACGACACTTTTTCTCAACGATATCTCCGACCAAAACATGGGCATGGACGCTCTTCGATTGAAATTCTATTTCGCCGTTCTCAAACAAAGAAGGAGGCAAAATAATAGGAGAAATTGGATTTTATCGAGTCCATTGAGAATGAAATATCGCGGGGACAATTTCTCGAATTATAACGACGGCAGCATTCCCATTACCCGGCATTATTTCCAAACACGTCCGTCCATTCTGGCAGCCGGCACGAAACTGATACAAGACTCCGGCCGTATCCACCCGAATGTGCATTCACAATCGCGTTCATTATTATCCGAACACGCACGTGAAATTTATTCGACCGTGATTTCTGTTTATCTTCAGCGCGCGTTTGCTCCCCATTTCTTTACCCCCCGCTATTTATGTGCAATTTATTGACGAGCATAAACAGTCGAAAATAATTTTGAAAAGTCGTCCGATTAATTATTGAGTTTACGAGGGGAACCATTTGCGTTCCATTGTATCTTTTCGTTTCGCGTTAATTTATATCGCGGATAGCCGATTAACGATTCCGAAATCCATGAAAATGTTCGGTTAGAGATTATGTGGATCATTACTCGCGGGACAGAGCGAGCTGCTGTTATTAACGTTCCTCTTCGGGCCAATTTCTTCCATCTGTGATGGAAGAAACTCCACGACGACGGATGATGAACGAGTTTACTGTAGATTACCATGAATAACGCAGAAATCGGGCCACGATCGCCAACGTTAAACCCGATTCGATCCTTCGTTCATCTGTGTAAAATGAGCTCTCGTTCACATATTGATTTTACCGCGTCGCGAATGACGTCACGATTAGAAAATACGCAACCTGACTGGTAATTAAACGAATCATGCGAATCGTCGGAAATGTTCATGTTACCCCGTGTTCGCATTTACTCCAGCCTTTCTTATCGGGGACTCGTTTCGTTAAAGGAGAGCCAGGAGAACGTAGTGCATTTCTGGTGTTAATCGTGGCTCCGGTTCACCCTCGCGAAACAGGCTTTCGTTGTTCGCCGGCTCGCAGATACCGTGAGGTCTCTGGGAGACCGTAAGCGGCTAAAAGGCGCCGCCTTGAAACGCTCCGAGTGAAAGGAGCACCCGCAGAAGAAAGAGCGAGACCGAGGTCGCCGAGAAGAGATAGACGCAGGAAGGCCGGCCTCGTCCTCTCAAAGCTGGAATGCCTGAGGGCGTCCGTACACGCTTCTCTTCTGATAACAGTGTGCAACCATGCCACTGGCTCTCTCTCTCTCATTATAACGTCCACCACCGTCGGTACCCACTCCGGGAATCCTGTTTATTCGGCTATCTGGCTCCCCTCGCTATCGACTAACCGCCAAGTTTCCGCTGACACTGTCTCAGTTTACTTTTCAGCTCCGTTTACTCGCGGTCCCGTGCGTCGCTTCGATGATCTCTGCGGAGAAGTCGAGGATGTCCAGAGTTTCGAGAGTCGCGGACATGTACCGACTCGACGATGATGGTCGAAACTCTCCACGCTTCGTCTTTGCGAAACGGCTCTTATCGTGCCTTCAATTCTAACTTCCTCGTATGATTTTTGTCTGGTTCGCGACCGTTGAACTCGATTCAACGAAAAGTTCGATGACACTGACGGGTATTACGAGTATGACCAGTCGCGATGGTTCGAGTAACGAACGAAGATCGGCTCGCGGTTTCCCGTTCGATCCACAAAGCCGACCGCGTTCCGACGATGCATCTGAAGGCTGACTTTTGCTCGCGAGGCCGATTCGTCACACTGACGTAATCTGGTTGGCTCGCGCTCGTTAACACCCTGGTCGATACGGCCGGCGATCGATCAAGGTCCGAGGAAGACGTGCCCCGATGCTTCTAGGCTTGACAAGTTACGATTCACAATTGCGCAGCAGCCTGTGTATCTCGTCGCGAAACACGGCGACAATATCACAGCCGAACGGGTTTTCTTCGCCGCAATTTATCGTTTCATTACGAACTTCGAGATACGTGCAGAGAAACTGAATCGACCGATACCGGATCGAAACCGACAGTTCGTTTCAACGGATTCAACGACGACCTCGATAAACGACGAACGAGTCTTCCGATTTATCTGCCAAACGTCTTTTACTGAATCACTTCTCACGATGCCATTCATTTCAAGTTTCAATCATCGTATGTCGTATATCGAGTGAGTTCATTCGTCGAACTTCTCAGCGGGACTGAAAGTGTAAACACGTTTTTACGTTTGATTGCAGAACATCCTGGACAAGTTCAACCCGGGAGCGAGGCAGCTGATCAATGCCGGGAAGGCGTATTTGAAAGCTCTCCATGGTGAGTGAATTAAATTGAATCTTTAAGGGGCGTAGAACGGGAGTACAAAAAGGCGGATGAAGTTCGGCGAGACAAATAGCGACGGACGGACGAACGATCGTCAAGTAGAAAAGAAGGTACGAACGAACGCGGGGCGAGTTTTACGCCGTCTCCTGGGTCCTGTTTCAGGATCGAATTGCCAGCTCGTCAGAATTGCGCACTGGAGGGGTGCATCACGGCTTCTATTTCATTCCCACTCTCGTGTTTCCGTCATCGGTCTTCCTTCCCAAACTCTTTTTGACTCATCGATTGGTCCTTTTTACGGTTCCATCAGGATCCATCGGGTGTGTAAACTGGTGGATCAGTACCGGCTCGACTTTCAAATTTTTCGAGACCACGTTTCACGTCTACGCATCAACTTCGTCTCTTACGACCACGTTACGAACGGTAGGAATTAATGAATCGTCGTCCCAAGAATTAGCCGCGAGTAAGTCTGATTTTCTCGGCTAAAAGACGTTTTCTTGAGAGACCACGACCGTGCAACGGATACTCGAGACATATTCGGCAAGCAGGTGACACAGGTCCGGGCCGCATTACGCGACACAAAGGACGGCTATTGTGTTCCCGGCGTGTCTCCTCGCCCCTTTCCCCTTTCTCCTATTTACTTTCCTCTTTTATTCGACGTTCATGGGGACACGCGAGAGATCGTCTCTCTGAATCTCGCCACCACACCGTTTCGCTTTGCTCTCGCGGAACGCGGTCTATTATGGCTGATAACAAAACGTCAGGCGTGGAGTCGGAAGGGGTTGAGGGGGACGGAAAATCGTTATGTAGCGGACCCCGGCGAGCTCGAACCGACTGGAAAGCTCCGACTCGTATAAGCGGAGCTTAAATCTGGCTTTGTCACGGTGGAAGCGCACGTGGAATCGCGAGGTGATGCTTGCAGCCTGGCCCGAGGTGGCGGAGGGTGCGCGCCACGGTCCCGAGGGAGAGAGGGACGGCACAAAGAGGGAAAGCGAAAGGGTGAAGAACGCGAGGGGCGCGGAAGTAGCGGAGGGAGAGCAGACAGACGGTGTGCGAGGGACGGAGCAGGAGGACTTCTGGGGTGGGAAGAAAATGGATTTGAACAGCGATAAGGGTCGAAGTCGGAGATACGCGCAAGATACGCTGTTTAAGAGGCTGATACGAAGAACGCGTTAATTAATTACGGGAACGTGATGAAATTTATTCGTCTCGATCGCTGAACACGTTCGAGTGTACGATAGGTCCCACGCGTTTCGTCGCGATTTAGGATATTAAACGGTATTTGGAATATTTATTTTCCCAGACATTACCCACCGCCTTGAACTTTGTGAATCGGCGACTAGTGAATTTTCAAAGTTCACACGCGTCTCGAGCGAACTCCGTGAACGGATGGTTCCAGAGACGATCCAGGCAATGAAAAATAAGGACAATGGCGAGTTACCGAGCGAAACCGCCGTGGAGAGAAAATGTGGTCCGCGACGAGGATGAAAGCGAAGACAATTAGACGAAGGAAAAAGGTCGATGGAAGGGCACAAAGAAGAGCGGCGAAGATAAAAAAAAACGGCGCCCGACGCAGAAAAATGTGCGGAGAAAAAGCATCGCGGGTATGAAAGAAATATGAAGCTAAAGTAAATGAGGAAGTCGTGTAGAAAATTAGAACTGATGAAGGGAAATGAAAGGGGAATCAATACGGGAAGCACTTGAAAAATGGCAGGAAATTAAAAGCGAGGAGGATGGGCGAAGGAAAAACAGGAAACGATAAGGGAACGTTTATGCGTTGCTCGCGATGCCCTCAGGTCCCCTTAAAGGGAGGGTCGGCTACCGTAAAGTATGCGCTATGAAAATGTCAACGGAGTAGATAGGTACTTCGTTCGAGAGGAGGAGGCAGAGAGAGTTAATCCTTTCTTAGGCGATTTAGATCCGGAAATTTCCGTTTCGAAGGATCAAAGAGATAAAGACGCGACGAGAGGAGTCGAACAAAGCGCGGAACGATAAAAATGAACTGTACTTATCTACCGAGAGGAGTTGAAAAAGAAACGAGACACGGTTCCAGAAACTAAGCGTCGACGAAAAAGAGTAGTGAACAATAGGCGGCAGGTAAAGAGTTTAAAGGCGGAGCTGATGAGACAAAAGCGAGGAAACGGATGAAAAGCGAAACAGTGTTTAACAGCGGAATATGGATTAGACGGAAACCGGGCGAACAGCGAGCGTGAAAACCAGGAGGAGAACACAGAAGGGGGTGCCGAGATTCAGATTCGGTATCCTAGCCGGCATCGGCCGGAGATATTGACGTATTTATTCCTGTAAATTTATGGTAACCGTGGAAGGAAATTCTTTGTCGACGGTCTGACTCGAGCCTGAATAAAACATATTTCCATGACCGGCACCGATGCCGTTACGGCAGTAGGTGGACCGCGAGATCGTAATAATCGCATTTTTACTCTTGCGTAAACATCTCTTTTTTTGTATGAGAGGGATTTCATCGTTTCGTACGCGTCGCGAAACTGTCGTAACGAAGGATCGACGAGCTCCACTATTTCTGGATTCTAAAACTGATCCATGACACTGTCTACCTTTCTTAACACGCTCGTAAATAACTTCCTTAAACGTTTCCTTTCTCGCCCGTATTTACAGTGCAAACACACCTAATAAATTCTCGTCGCAGTCGTCGTGCTTTTGCAAATACGCGTACTCCCATGGAATTTCTCCTCCTACGGTCCGCGTCGTTTTCACCCGGAACGTACGTCACACTGTTCTCAAACATGACGATCGAAGCCCCTTGAAAAATCTATTTTTCAAACGGCACGTTTTTAAGAGACGCGACCGTCGTATCAGGCAACGAAGAAGGTACGTGAACTTTAATTGCCGTCAAGTGCCGGACGAGTTAAAAAGCAAACGATTAAACTTGGCAGGAATTTGCTCGGGGACGGAGTTTTAATTCGCGCTCGCTTCGGAATACAAATGAAGGATAAGAATGTGACTAAAGGCGAATGGGAACGCGATTCTAACATAAATTACGTCTCCACGGTTAATCGGGTCCGTGAAACGCGGCGCATTGCGAAAACGCAATGAATTATGCAAAACGTTGGATGGACGACGGCGTGTAACCTCGTTACGCAAATCGTCAACGAAATTCTACGAACCTTTCGGACAGTCATTGATAGGCCATAGACTCTGAGACATCGGAGGATCCAAAATGAACCGCGGATCGTTATTTTTTTAGGACAATTGACGTTCCTCTTCAGATTTCGTCGAATCGAAAAAGCTTCTTCGTCCGCGAACGGCACGACGCGAATCGTAAAAAGATATTCCAATTTTTTCCATCGATGAATCGAGGCATTTGTAGGTAAGAGGAAGTTGGAGAACTCGGATTTGCATCGTATAAATAGTAAGATACAGCGGACAAAGAAATTCGCGACACTTCTTCCGCGATCCTGACTTATTCAACGCGTCGCGCGCGCGGGGAGTTCTGTGTATCTTCTCCCTTTCACAGTTTCCCAACTCGGCTTCTTACTTGAAACGCATTCCGCGAGATCGCGATAAATTATGCAAAATGTGGAGCAACCACTTCGCAGTTTCGAATCTTGTTTCGAGAACCTCTTAATCTCACGCCGAAATTCTTCGAAGATACGGGCCGAGAAAAACTGACGCGTGGTTCGCGACGTGATATAAAAAATCAAGGTTCCCCTCGCGGATCCAATTAAGTTCTACGAACGGACGTCGTTCGTTTTTTCGTTGTTCCGCAGTGAATTCGATTCGCTTCTTTTTCCACCGCGCTGACGGGGGAAATCATTAGGTACTTCTTGCGATCGGTGATATTTCAGCAGAGAGCAGTAATTAGAGAGCATTTTGTCGAAAGCGGTCTACGCAGACATCGTTCCTCTGCAGACTGGCAAGAAACCGTTGACAAATTGTTCGCCTTCCCGCTGTTTAAACCTCTGCCCTGACAAATCTCGCTGCGAAATCACCGCAGCTACTCAATTTCATTTCGTCGCTTCTCGTCTCGTCGGCGAACGAAATACAGATTTCTCAAATTTCGTTGTTCTCGAGTCCCTCGAAAATACGACGGATCCTGTGTTAGCGTCATCTGGTTCGCGATCGACGTAACTTTCGGGAATGAGACGAAGAAGCCAGGACAGACGAAGACGTTTCTCGTTCTGTTCGAAACAGACGAGAACCGATGCATATTCAGCGAAACATCTGCGAAGAGAAACGTTCCGCGACCTCCGCGGCGTGAGAGTCGTTCACGCTTTCGATGCAAAAGTGGTAAAGGGTCGCGCGAGTACACCGTTAGAACGTTAATTGCCTTTCGACGCGTACCGCCGCCGGTATTATGCGACGGTGTTTCAGACTTTTAACGGCGTTCTTTCTTGTAACGATAATGGCAGTGCAAGCGAAAAGAACCGGGCGTAGGTTTAGACCGTTTTTGCGAACCCACCCGGTGTCGAAACGATTTTTCGCTACGCGAAGTTTTTTTCACGGCGCGGAATATATTCTAATCGACACCCCCGTTTACGTCCTGACCAGTATGGCCAGATAATTTAATTTTGAGTTCGTATGCTTCTTAATATGAACAGCCTGTAATAGCGATTCGTACGAACGAGAGCAGTGGAAGCTATTCAGTACCGGCAATGCCCACTTGAGCAATGTATAATTTTGGAACGGAAGAAAATAGCCGAGGTTTAAAATCGGAAAACATATAAACCGCTATCGAAATAAATTTAAACGCGTCCTCATTTTCCACGTTCGTCTCAAATTTTCCCGGATTTAAAAGTCTACCTCTGGCATCGTTTGGCAATTTTTATTTGGCTCATTAAAAATTCGCGGGGACGATCGATCATTAAAACTACCGAGAGAGAGAGAGAAAGAGAGAGAGAGAGAGAGAGAGAGAGAAAGCGAGAGCGAAAGAAAATATTAGCGACAAGTGGCCGCGTCGCGAATAGACCGGCTAGTCGGATCAGAAGATGATCCCGAAGTTGGGCAAGTGGTTCGAGTGG